TCTGCCCTGTCATGAGTTACCCCATAAAGAGGTCCAGGTGGCAAGAAACTGAAGGTGACCTCCTGCCAAATGCCAGCAAGGAGCTGAGACCCTTGGACCATCCGCTCACCAGGAAATGAGCCCTGACAACAACCATGTGAGCTTGGAGATGGATCCATCCCCGGTGGAGCCTTCCAAGGAGCCCCCCAGTCCTGGCTGCCACCTGTGAGACCCTGAGGCAGAGGACCCCATGAAGCCAGGCCTGGATTCCTGAGGAGCAGAAGCCGTGAGATGATAAATACGTGTTGTTTGGAGCCACTAAGTTTGCGGTAATTTGTTACAAAGCGATGGATGCTAACACACCGGGTCTTAGACACCTTCATTCATGCGTTCGGCAAATACTAGTTTGCCAGGCACCCGTCCAGGTGCTCAGCATCCATCAGCGAAGTGAAATTCGTGCTCTTAGGAAGTGTAAATTCTAGTGTTTGCATGTGTCTGGGGGGGGGGGTGGTGGTGGTGGTGAAACAGTAGACGTAGCAAATAAGTTACCTCGTCACCCACCGATACAGTATGTTCCATGTAGCTACGCAAGTTCGCTGGAGAAGAAAGTGGGGTGAGCTGCTAGGGAGAGAACCCGGAGTTTGTGACGTTTTGAGAAAGGATCTTAAGGACTAGTTCAGGGAGGAAGCCAAGCAGAGCTCTTTGGGGAGAGTGCTTCAGGCAGAGGGAACAGCCAGTGCAAACACCCCGAGGCCCAATACACCTGGAGTGAGGGAGGAGCAGCGAGGAGGGAGGCTGAAGGGTGTGGGGGCGGGGATGACGTCAGGGGTGCCCAGGGGCACAGAATTTTTTTTAAGATTTAATTTATTTATTCATCTCACACACACACACACACACACAGAGGCAGAGACACGGGCAGAGGGAGAAGCAGGCTCCATGCAGGGAGCCTGATGTGGGGACTCAATCCCGGAACTGAAGGCAGGTGCTAAACCGCTGAGCCACACCCAGGGATCCCAAGACCTGGCCTTATTTTTAAGTGGTTTTCTCACTCATTTTCCTTACTGATGCCTCCAGATCCTAGCCATCCGTCAAGGCCAGCTCGAGCCCTGCCTCCCCCCACCGCCTGCAGCCTTAACCTGGAGCCCTCCCCCACGCAGGGCATTAAGTACCTTTGTGCCATTAGTGGTGAAGTTTTGGAATACAGGTGAGGCCCGGAGCCGACGGCCAAGCAAGGATTCCGGATTTTATGGAAGCCCCGGGACGGACCCGTGGGCAGGAAGAGCGGCTGCCCCGGGGCCTGGGTGGGGCGGCTATTTATATGCCTGGGAGTCCCGGAGGTGAACCAAAGGGAGATTTCAGAAGAATTGTCCTAAGACGCGGGAGGCCTTGCCATTGTCGGGTTAAAGATTGCTTTTCCCTCAAGCGAGGCATTAACATGAAGACAATTGGAAACTTCCTGAAGAATGTCACACATCCCACCCTGGCTGGGGGTTGTTTGCGGGTTATCAGCTGGGCTTTGTCCTCAGCGAGCCCTGCTGCTCAGCATCAGGGCTGCAAAAACTGGAGGTGATTGCTGATGGCGCCCCCAGCCCTTTGTCTCCCCCCCACCCCTGAGGTACCACCCCACCCCCGCGAAAGGAAGAAAGGTTAGCAGATCAAGGGGGTACAGTGAGGAAACCTGAGCACAGAGGCCACAGAGTAGGTGAGCGGAGCCCCGGGGCTCATGGGCCTTGTGACTTGTACCGGCTGTCACGTGACCCCACACACCCAGGTCCTCTCTCCGGCTTCCAGAACCCCTGCAGAGCCGCTCTTGAGGGAGCGGTGGGTGGGGAAGGATGGCCACCCCCATCCCAAAGCCATGTGTCCCCGCCCCCTCCAGTCTGGTTCAGTCTTGATGGATCCTCATCTTCAACTCCCTCAGGAGGCCTGGCTCTCCCAGGTCCCCCAGCCCTACGTTAAGAGGCTCTATAGCAAGCTGATTTGCAGACGTTATGTAACCTTATATTTTGTCTTCTGTGTGCATTCTTCAGAGAGTGAACTTGGCATTTTAGGTCTCGTGCAGGTGTTTGTGGAAACATGGGACAGGTGTTTTGAAAACACCTAGGAGCTGGATTTGACCTTTTCCATCTAGAGGAGGTTCACAGTACTCTTGCTGAAATGGTGGTGGGGGGGATGGTTTTGGAGACCAACATGAATGAGATTGTTAACGCAAACCGATGCACTTGATGGGGCACCTGGGTGGCTCAATGGTGGAGCGTCTGCCTTCCCTTCAGGGTGTGATCCTGGGGTGCCAGGATTGAGTTCCGCATCGGGGTCCCCGCAGGGAGCCTGCTTCTCCCTCTGCCTGGGTCTCTGCCTCTCTTTCTGTGTCTCTCATGAATAAATAAAATCTTTTATTTTTATTTATTTATTTATTTATTTATTTATTTATTTATTTATTCATTTATTTATTTATTTATTTATTTATGAGAGACACAGGCAGAGGGAGAAGCAGGCTCCAGGCCAGGAGCCCGACGTGGGACTCGATCCAGGGTCACCAGGATCACGCCCTGGGCCGAAGGCGGCGCTAAACGACTGAGCCTCCCAGGGATCCCCTAAATAAATAAAATCTTAAAAAAAAAATTGATGCACGTGATAAACGAGAGCTCTGAGGCTGGCTAGCGGGAGCTGGAGCCTGTGCTATAGCGGCTGTGAAGAACATGAATCTTCCTCGGATCCCAGGAAATATCACCATCGGTGACTTCAGTATGAAAGTGCCAAATCTGCCCACTTAGTAAAAAAAATTAAAAGGGCCCCAGTCCCAGGTGAAATCTAGGGGACAAAAGTCATTTAAGCTCACCATGCAGCTGTTCGCCAAAAATAGAGACAGTCTTAACTTCTGCTCTTGGATTTAAGCCAACGCGCTGCACAGAAGCCGTGTAAAACCAGGATGGAAGCCTAACGCCGCTTTTCTGGCTCAGCGGCTTTGAAGGCCTCGGGCAGTTCCGGGGCGGTACTTGTGTCTTTTCTGAACTGCATTCCTAGGGCTCCCCAAGGCACGCCTCCGTGCTTCGGCAACCGCGTTTCAAAAAGCGTCCGCGAAGGCTCCGAGAGGTCGGTGTTCTGCGCGCATCGGCGGGGCAGCCTCCCGGGTCCCAGGACCCCGGGGTCACGGCCTGGGCCAAAGGCGCTCGCCCGGCCGCTGAGCCACCCGGGGGCCCCGCGCATCTGCACCTCGCGCTGCCTCCCCACTCCGTGGGGTCCGCGCAGCCGCGCCCCCAGCACAGACCCCGCCGCAGCCCAGGAGCGGCCCGAGGCGCGCGGCCCCGAGCTGGGCACCGACTGCACGGCGGCCCCGCGGCCCGCACGCCAACCCCCAGCCTCCGAACCCCGGAGGGCGCCGAGGTCACCCCGGGGCGCGGCCGGCCCGCCGACTGGGGCCCCGGGGACAGGTGCGCTCGGGGCCCCGCGCGGCCGCTGCAGCCCCGCCCGGGGGCAGCGGGCGCACGTGCGCACCCGCCGGGGGAAGGCGCACAAAGGGGCCCGCACCTGCGCCAGGTCGCGCCCCGGCCGGCCCGATGGTTCGGCCCGCCCTCCCCGCCGGCCCGCGGCCGATGGTTCCGCCCACCGCGGCCCCGCCCCCTGCTGCATAGTCATGAGGCGGGCCGCTCCTCGCCCTCCCGGCGCGCCCTGCTGGGGGCGGAGCCCGGCGCGGGCGCGGGCGCGAGGCGGGGGCGGGGGCGGGGCCGGCCGCCGCCCGCCCCCGCCTCGCTCCCCGCCCCCGAGGCGCCGGCCCCGCCCCCCGCGCGCCGGCCCCGCCCCGCGCCGCCGCGGCGCAGGGGCGGGGCGGGGCCCGGGCGGCGCAGGCCCCGCCCCCCGCCTGAATATTGATGCGGCGCGCGTCGGCGTCGCCCTCCTCCCATTGAGCGAGGCTGTGTCGCGTGGCCCAGCGTCGGCGTGACGGTTGGACGCGGGCGCGGCACTGCGGGTCCCGATTGCTGCAGCCGCTTGTCAGTGTGATGAAGATTGGCACCCAGGTAAGCTGTCACTCAAGCGCTCCGCCGCCGCCGCCGCTCCGCCGCCCCGTCCCTATCAATCACGCCGGCCCGCAGGCGCCGCGGCCGTCGCCCCGCCGCCGCCGCCCGGGTCCCCGCGGGCCGCCATCGCCCGGGAGGGCCGCGCCGGACGCGCCGCCCGGGGCAGGGGGCGGGGAGGGGGCGCGGGTGGGGGAGGGGAGCCGCGGCCGCGGGGAGGGGCGCTGGCGGCCGGGCCGGCGCGGGGGCGCGCCCCGCTGGGGGTTCCGTGTGGCTGGAGGGACGCGGAAATTTCTGGAAGGCGCCGCCGCTGCCGCGCGGGCCCCGCTGCGAGGCGCGCGCGCCCAACCGTCCCTCTTGGAGCGCGGCGCGCGGGCCTGCGCGGGCGGGGGCGCGGGGGCGCGCGCGGGGGGCGGGGCCTGCGGGCGCGGGGGCGGGGCCTGCGGGGGGCGGGGCCGGGGCGGCTCGGACCCCCTGGAGGCGGGCCTCGGGAGCGGAGGGCAGCCGGGAGCGGGGCCCGGCCGCGCGGTTCCCCCGGGGCCGGGCGCCCCGGTTCCTGGAATCGGCGCCGCGGGCGGGGGGCGGGCGCGGGTGCCGGGAGGTGCGGGGCAGGGGCGGCCGCTCGCTGGCACCCGCACTCCTGCTGGGGGGAATCGGGAGTCACCCGGGAAGAATTAGGAAAAGTTGGGTCCGCCTTGCCCGGTGCGGGCGGCCGTGCCCGGGGCCCCGCAGGCTCGCCGCTCGCCGGCCCGGAAGAATCAGCTTTCCGCAGAAGCTGCGGGGCCTTAGGGAGCGAGCACTTCCCCACTTGGGGTGAACGACCCCCCCCCAGCTGTCGTGGGGCGTCAGTTCGCAGCCTTCCCCAGTCCGGGCTGGAGAGGGGACTCCACTCTGCGAGCGCGACCCGGCGTGTCTGGTGCATCACAGCACGCCCCGGGGCGTGTGCTCTAAACGCGCTAAGGGAGGGTCCGGGCGGGATGGAAACGCCGGCCCGTGCGCTCGCGGGCGGATTGGGAGGGTGGCGGGTGGGCGAGAGCCCCCCCGTGCCCCCGGGTGCTGGGCGTGCTGGGCGTGCAGGCCACGTGGGCTCGCGGGTGGGAGGAGCGCTGGCCTCCCCAGCCCCCAGCGCAGGGCCGGAGCCGCACAGTGCTCTGCTCCTACCAGCGGGACACGGGCGCTTCCCTTGCCGGAGATTTGTTTATTGTCCCAATTGTGTTTATTTATTAATGAGAAGCACAGAGAGGTAGAGAGAGAGAGAGGCAGAGACACAGGCAAGAAGGAGGAGCGGGCTCCACGCAGGGGGCCGGACGTGGGACTCGATCCCGGCACCCCGGGGTGACGCCCTGGGCTGAAGGCGGCGCTACACCGCGGAGACCCCCCGGGCTGCCCTGTCAGAGGTTTAAAAGCGGGAGTTAGAATCGGTGACAGAGGTGCATGAAACGTGACTTGAAAGCTTAGCCTCCCGTGCGGAGGATTTAAGTGTCAACAGGCTGCTTGCGTGCAGACGCATTTTGTTGGGTTCCCGCCCCCTGGTCTCCATGCATTTACGCTTGTGTGTCCGCGTGTTACGACTCGAGCGAGGTACTGCGGGGGAGCGCTGGGAAGGTGCTGGTGTGGACGGCGACATTCTAGCTGTGACTTTCACTTTTGTTGCAAATTGTTAACGCGCTGGAAACTGTTTCGGAGAAAGGCTGAAACCCTGGGGTGAGGTTAAAGGCTGTGCCTCCTGGGGCTTTTCCCCTGGCCTCCGGGCTCCTCACAGAAACACTGTAGAGAAAATAGGATGGAGGAGAGAGGCCTTATATTATGTTGAAATACAGTCACCAAAATATTGAAGCAAATCTATGCCCAGGATGCTCAGGCGCCCTCTGTTAGGTCACTTACGGCAGGTGAAGTCCCGGCTTCAGCGATTCCTTGTGGAGCAGTGACCAGCAAAACTGATAGTTGGAGGTGTCTGTGGCAGCTCTAGTGCTTTGTGAAAATCTCTGTGGTCTGTGTTGGGGACAAAGTCACAGGCACTGCTGAAACTCCCAGGATTTCACGTCTTTTGTGATTGAACGGGTGCTGAATTTCAGCCAGAGGTTATTGCAGACAAAGACGTGATGTGTTTTCTCATCCAGGTGCGCGAAGCCCGCGCGAAGCCCAAGGTCAGAACGTGTGCGGTAGACATCAGTGCCCTCCCATCACCCATTTGTGGGAATATGTATGTGCCCTTGTGTTTCCTTCCTCCATGGCTGTCCTGGTGGCAAAAGGGGTGAGGGAATAAGAGTGCAGAGGACGGAGCTCACAGCTTAGCAGTCTGGGGTCAGCATGGGTGAGGGGAGAGCTGCAGCAGCCACGGTAGGGGCGTGGGGGGAGTGCCATCTTATGCCACCACCAGGATCAGTTGCTGTTTGTCTTGGACAGTGGAGATAATAGTGTCAAAAACGTTCAGTCTGGGAATTGTTAGAATCAACATTTAAGAGCCGGGAAGCCTTACTTTGGTAGAGGCCTGGCTGCAGGGCCTGTCAGATGAGGCTACGCCTGCCATACCAGCCCCTTGTTTTGGGGTGTCAGCCCCACCACGTTAGTTACTGTTTCTGGAAAGTCGGTTCACACAAGCCTGTGTGACATCACAGCAAACGTGCTGACAGGGTAGTTTGAAACCGGTGACTTGGAAGCACTGTGGTTCTGAGGGTGCCGGGGGTGGGGGTGGGGGTAGAGCAGCTTCTGAACTCTCTAGGATTCCTTAGGGGAAAGGTTCTACAGTGTTTTCAAAGTATTGAAAACTGACCTACCAGCTTACAAGACTGAGAGTCTGTGAGTAGAATTTTTTTTTTTTTTTTTTACTTGTTCATTCATGAGAGACACAGGCAGAGACGGAGGGAGCCCGATGCGGGACTCGATCCCAGGACCCTGGGGTCACGCCCCGAGCCAAAGGCAGATGCTGAACTGCTGAGCCACCCAGGCCCCCCTTAGATTCATTTTCTTGTCCTGAGTTTTCCTTTAGGTGATAGCACACAGGTCCTGACAGATGAGCTGCCAGGTCCTGCCTCCTCTCCCCGTAGGGTACGCCGCTCAGTGTGGCTTGTGGGTGCTCCTGCCTGGGGGAGCTCCCCACCACCCAGAAGGCGGGTGTAACTTCGTGCAGCCCCTAGCCCAGTGCAGCCGGTTGGCCGCAAACGCCTTTCTCTTTGCCGTCCGTGAGTGATGCGTACACGGTGATAAGCGGCTGTGTCAGGTCTCGAGGTGGCGGGGAGCAGGCTGGCTGCCAGTCCCGGGGTTGAGGGTTACACAGCAGTAAGGAAAATAGGAATCTAGTGGGATCCCGGGGCCCACAGAAGGGTCGGCAGCCTGGCAGGAGTCTGGGCCTTCCCGGTTGGGTTGGACTCTCCCCTGCTGCCTGCCGCTCTGCACACGCTCTGCAGCTCTGCACACTCCCCGGCGCAAGGTCCCCTCCCCGCAGCCTGGGGCCCAGCACCACCGCTCATCCTCTTCCTGTTTCTCGGCGGGTGCACCCCGGGGAGACCGGCTGACTCTCCCTCCGCCTGCCTCCCAGGCGCTGACGCCCCCTGACCCACCCCCACCGGCTGGGTGCTGCTCGTCCCCTGCCTGGCCTGGGTGGGCAGCTCCTGCCTTCCGCACAGCACCCTTCCCAGCACCCTTCCCAGCGGAGGTTGGGTCGCCCCGAAGGGCCTGTGTGTGTGGGGGGGGGGGTAGGTGCTGTGATGCAGGTTCCAGCCGGAACAGTCTGAACAGACTTGGGAACATAAAGCTTCATGAGAGCTTGGCGAGCTCGCAGTACGTGAACTTTAGCTCTGCGTTCTTTTAAGTTGTGTGTGTGTGTGTCCTTCCCCCCACCCCCAAGAATGTACTTTAGCAGAATTTCTTGCAGCGTCAGTGCAAACACTTCTGTGGCCCTGTAGGGCAGGGGTTCTCAACTGTGAAACTCCTCACATTTGGGGCCAGATGCTTCTGTGGTGTGGAGGCCGTCCTGTGCATTATGGGCCGTAGCCAATGCCAACGGGAGCCTTACTTCCAGCTGTGACAACCAAAATGTCTTCGCATATTGCCAAATGTCACCCTTGGTTGAGAACTGATCTGAAACGGCATTTCCCAGAATGTAGTATGTGGAACCTGAGTTTAATGGGATCTGCATCTGTATTTACATATTGTTATTTTGTATCGTATTTGTAGTCAGCATGGTTCTGTATGTTTCCATATACTTACATGACCCACATGTTTCTCTTTTAAAAAATGTGTCTAAGATCTCCACATAATTTTGTGATTCTCTTGTTTGTTTTCTGCTTTGTGGCCATGTCTGATGTTGCACAGCCTTTTGAGCGTTTAAGTTTTGATATCTTCTCTGTTGTTTCCATTATTCTCTGGCCTGCCGAGCTTAGTGCTGGTGAGATCACAGGGGATGTGGGTAGGAAGGACGGTGCTCCTGGGTCCATTTCTAGGAGCACACAGCGCCCCGGGAGGAAGGATTGTCCCTGTGAAAGGGCCCTTGCTTTGAAGAGTCGGCTTTCTTATTTTTCATAAAGTACTCGTTAACTCTTTTTTTTTTTTTAATGTGTAGATATTTTATTCATCCATTTTTTTTTAATTTTTATTTATTTATGATAGTCACAGAGAGAGAGAGAGAGGCAGAGACATAGGCAGAGGGAGAAGCAGGCTCCCTATGGGGAGCCTGATGCTGGACTCCATCCTGGGACTCCAGGATCACACTCATAGCCAAAGGCAGGTGCTCAACCATTGAGCCACCCAGACGTTCCCTTTTTTTTTTTTTTTAAACAAACAGAGAGTTTGTTTTAACAGGATTTAGTATCTGATTTTATTTGAATATTATTATTATTATTAAAGATTTTATTTATTTGATGGAGAGAGAGCACAAGTAGGCAGAGTGGCAGGCAAAGGGAGAGGGAGAAGCAGACTCCCTGGTGAGCAGGAAGCCCAACGTGGGGCTCAAACCCAGGACCCTGGGATCATGACCTGAGCCAAAGGCAGACGCTAAGCCGACGAAACCACCCAGGTGCCCCTTTATTTGAATATTAAACTTCAACAGGTACCTCCCCAAACCTTGTTTGAAAAATAATTTCTTGATGAGTGTTTCCCTCAATATGAGTTGTGGACTGAACACCTCCCAGGGAAGAGGGCTGTGAAGCCGGAATGGAAGGCAGCGGACGGGTGGCCTGTGCTGCTGAGCTGCAGACACTGATGACTTCCCACACGCAAAAGGGAAAATCCTTGAACCACGGTGACAGTTTCCTGAAAGGTATCTGCGAAAAGATCTCTTTTTAAATAAGAATTTTGACAGTTTTCTTGGATTCCTCGACAGCTTTCTTAGCTTTATTAAGAAAAAGGCTTAGGGATCCCTGGGTGGCTCAGCGGTTGAGCGCCTGCCTTTGGTTCAGGGCATGACCCCGGGATCCTGGGATTGAGTCCCCACATTGGGGTCCCTGCGAGGAGCCTGCTTCTCCCTCTGCCTGTGTCTCTGCCTCTCTCTCTGTGTCTCATGAGTAAATAAATAAAATCTTAAAAAAAAAATAAAAAAGCTTAGTTTGAATGCTATGGTTGGCAGTCCTGTGCTGGCTACATAACCGGCTCTTCTAGAGACAATAAACCTGAAATTCCCCTAGAATTTCTTGCATTTCTTGATCGGTGGAATTGATCATGCTCCTTAGTTAAAGCAGCTTTTGAGAGCAGCTGTGAAGTGACCCCCTGGGAAAATAAACCCCTTGCTAAGTCTGGCAGCTAGGGACGGATGGGGCTGCTCCTGCATCAGGCATGTGTGTAGAGTCACTGAAAAATGCAAATGACTCCATGTCACCAAAACTGAGTTAGCAGATTTTAGATGGGTTAAAAATAGTATAGTTCAATTTTTAAAGTATCACATGTCTCTTTTGGACAGCTATACTCTAGGCCAGGGGTTGGCAGAGACAGAGTCCCACTGTGGGCTGTTCTTGTGTGGCCCTGGGGCCATGGATTATACATTTCAAAGGGTCATAAAAGAAGGAAAGAAGACTACATGATGAAGATAGTATGTGGCCCACAAAGCCTAAAGTTTACCTAAAATCTGGCCCTTTACGGAAAAAGTTTGCTGACCTCCACTCAGTTCTGAACTGAAACGTGGAAGTTGGTCTGGATCTAAATGGATAAAATTGCATAACTCTGTTGGGGATAAACGAATAACAGAAGGGAAGAAGTAGGATGGTTTCCCTTGGTGGACTGTCCCCTGCTGGGGCTGGTCTGTGATATCATCTGTGTAAAAACACGGCTGTGTGAATAGCTCCTAAACCAGAATTAGAATCGTGAAGGCTCCCATGTGACTACATGCTGGAAGCTAAATCTAGAAGTCTGCTTTAGTGACTAGTTCCTGTTGCTTCTGTGCTCAATTGTTTTTCTCTGTTGTTGGCATCTGAGCACTGGGAAACCTTGCTTCACTGATGAAGTCAGTACATAGGATTGAATTTTCTCCTGGGTTCCACCGCCTCGCCCAGAAGCAGTTGTTTCTGGGACCCCAGATGCTGCTGGGAAAGCGGGGGTGGAGGGGTTCCTTGGTCAGGAGCCTCTCCTGTGGGTAGTGCCCCCTGTGTGGGCCGGGCTCAGGGATTGAGGGCGGGTGGGCCCTGGGGTGTGGGGCTGGGCTGGGGCGCCCTCGATGTTCTTTGGTTGTTCTTTCTAGAATCCCCCCGACCTTTTTGTTTGCTTGCTTTCAAATGTTTCAGCATTTCCTTTGTAAAAGGAAAAAAAAGGGGACTAACAATCTTCAGCTCCTTTATGACAGCTGTCTTCTCCCGGATGTTTTTAACCTGTCAGGATAATGTCAAGTTAACTTGCCTGAGGATGTGCTATACCTGTTGTGTATTTAAGTGTTTGTTTCTCTGTTTCAATTTTAATGTCAGTCCAGTATATCCTAAGAATATAACCTTTAATGGTTTTAAGTTTTAAAAAAAATTATCATTTTGTCTGTTATTTTCCTTGTTTTTTTAAAATATTTTATATGAATTGACTTCCAAGTGGATAATTTAGTTAATTGAATTTGCAAGGAGTGGAAAACATTATGGAACATTCCCAGTATATCTGCCTTTAGGCTTAAGAGAATGTTTTTCTAATGTCATTTTTTAATGTAATAAATAATACTGAAAGTGACGATTATAGTGCA